AGCGGGTCCGTGAATTTATTGTACCTAAGGTACTGGCCAGAGAAACCGTAGCCCCTCGATGCGGCTTCTATTTTCAGAGGTGGAAAGCCTAGCGCTGAACAAATCCTCCCCCGTCCTCCCTCCTCCTCCTCCTCCTCCTCCTCCTCCTCCTCTTCCTCCTCCTCCTCCTCTTCCTCCTCCTCCTCCTCCTCCTCGTCTCCTCCTCCTCCTCCTCCTCCTCCTCCTCCTCCTCCTCCTCCTCCTCCTCCTCCTCCCCCGTCCTTCTCCTCCTTCTCCTCCTCTCCTCCTCGTCCTCCTCCTCCTCCTCCTGCTCCTCCTCCTCCTCCGCCTCCTCCTCCTCCTCCTCCTCCTCCTTCCTCCTCCTCCTCCGTCCTCTCCTCCTCCTCCTCCTCCTCCTCGTCCTCCTCCTCCTCCTCTGCTCCTCCTCCTCCTCCGCCTCCTCCTCCTCCTCTTCCTCCTCCTCCTCCCTCCTCCTCCTCCCTCCTCCTCCTCCTCCTCCTCTCCTCCTCCTCCTCCTCCTCCTCCTCCTCCTCCTCCTCCTCCTCCTCCCCCTCCTCCTCCCCTCCTCCTCCTCCTCCTCCTCCTCCTCCTTCTCCTCCTCCTCCTCCCTCCTCCTCCTCCTCCTCCTTTTCCTCCTCCTCCTCCTCGTCCTCCTCCTCCTCCTCCTCCTCCTCCTCCTCCTCCTCCTCCTCCTCCTCCTCCCTTCCTCGTCCTCCTCCTCCTCCTCCTCCTCCTCCTCCTCCCTCCTCCTCCCTCCTCCCCCTCCTCCTCCTCCTCCACCTCCTCCTCCTCCTCCTCCTCCTCCTCCCCTCCTCCTCCTCCTCCTCCTCCTCCTCCTCCTCCTCCTCCTCCTCCTCCTCCTCCTGCTCCTCCTGCTCCTCCTCCACACCGAAGGAGAGAAGGGACAGAGTCGGGCCAGCAGCAGCAGCAGGGGGGGAGGTAGTCCCGAACAGTCCACCTGCCAAACGGGGGTCCGCGCGGACCCGTCCTGGGTCGGCGCTAGACCCCTCTCCTGGTTGCGCGTCGCACTGCCGGTGAAACAGGGGGAGGAGGAAAAAGGACAGCGGCACCAGAGCGCAGGAAAAAACAAACAGGGGCGACCGGCCGAAGGAGAGGGGGAGGAGAGGGGGCGTCGAGTCACGTCGGCGGGGGCGGAGGGCGGAGGCCACCGCGGCGGGGTCCGGGGGGCGGGAGGCTTCGGCCGCCATCGTCGTCATCGTAGCGGTCATCGGTGGTGGGGGGCGGGGGCGGCGGAGCGCGGGGGGCGGGGGGCAGCAGCCGCGCAACCGTTGCCGTCGTCGGTGTCGTGGTTCCTGCGCTGTTGTTGGCGCTGGTGTTGCCGCGGGCAGTGACCCTGCTAGCGCCTTCCCGCCAGCGTCGGCTCAAGAGAGTCGGGGCGCTCCTGGTAGAGCCTCAGCGCCCGACGGCCGCCAAGATAGTCTCGGCGTTGCCGAGATGCAGCTGGGTGCTGAGCTGCTGCCATCCATAGCGGATGACTTCTGTCCGCTCCGCAGGGGCCATGTCGTGACTCCAAGAGCGAACATACGCCACGGTGGCATCTCCCGGGCGGCCTCCTGTTTCGAACATGACCGGGATGATCTGGCCTCCCTCGGGCGGATAGCGCTCCCGTTTGGCGTCCTCCGCGTTGGTGGCGGCGAGGCTGTCCTTGTTCGAGCGGGCCTGCTGGCGCGGCGCGGTGCCGCTGTGCGCGCAGGTCATGCTCGTGTCCAAGAACACTATCTGGCCGGTCACCGCGTCGCGGATGGCGACGTCGAGCCGCGCCTCTTCGAGGCACCCTGTCCGCGGGTTCACCCTGTCCCAAGCAACGACTCGTTGCTCCGTCTGCGCTGCGTATCCCGTGGTCCGCTGGTGGTAGTTGGCGCAGAAGTCCCGGAGGCCGTTGTGTTTGTTGTTGCGGTAGGGGCCGCACGGGCACTTCAGGGCGTGGCGGCCGCGTCGGTCGAGTGCCTCCCCGCACAGCGTTCCGTCGGCCTTGCGGAGCTTGCAGGTCGCGCCCGGCGGGCACACAGGCAGGTGCAGCTTGTCCTTGAGGGCGATGCAGAAGCGTTCGTCTGGCATTCTGGCGGGCGTCTCTCCCTCGCTGACGACGGGCGGCTCCAAGTACCCTCCTGCGCCGGGGCCGCCTGACAAGCGGAAGTCCACCCTGTCGTCTGTCCCCAGGGAGGCCAGCAGCCGTTCGCGTGCCTTGCTGCGGAGGTCGCCCGCCCACTTTCCTTGCATCCCCTGGAGTGGTTCGCCCATGCAGCCGGTCCAGTCGATCGCCTCGAGAGACCCCCCGCTCTGCGCCTGGAGCCGAGTCTCCGCCCTCGCTATGGCCTCGGCCACCGGGGGGCAGCGCTCCTTCAACAGCGTCCAGGAGGGCTCGTCCAGGCAGGCGCCCACGCTGCGGAGGGTGAGCGCCCAGCTTCCCAGGTAGGCGGCGGCCGCCGCCTGTGCGGCCGAGGCGAGCCCGAGGCCCCCGTCGGCCAACCGGAGGAAGCATTGCGCCCGCTGGTCTTTGTCGAGGGCGTCGCCCAGGAAGTCCTCCACAAACTGTATGAAGGTTTTGTCGAGCCTGGAAAGCCAGTCCCCGTCCTCGTAGTTTGCACGGAGCAGGCGCGTGACGCAACCGTTGCTGTAGGTTTGGAGCAGCCAGAAGCACTCCTTCGCTCCGAGTCCGGCACCCCGCAGTTCCTGGAGTCGGGTGATCAGTCGCTCTGCGGCCCGCACTGCCTCGTCGCCGTCAGCGTGCCCGTGAACAGCGAACCGCCCCAGCGGGTCGTCCGGCCCCACCCAGGGCGCGGTGGCCCCCAGGCAGCGGAGAGTTGGCACCCGCAGCGCTTCGAGCAGGGGCGAAAGTTGCGTCGTTGGGTCGCGGGTCCACGCCGCGGTTTTGCCCTCGTTGATGGTGAGTCCTGCTCGCGTGAGTTCCTCGACCACTGTCTGCGCCGCTGCCTTCCCAAGCGTCGTAGGAACCACCACCACCACATCATCTAAGTAGGAGAACGCCCGAGCAGTCGGCGCCGCGGCCCGCAGGCGAGCGTCGATGTTGGATAACGCCTCCGCCAGCCCCAAGGCGAAGTAGGCGGGCGAGAGCGGGCAGCCGTGGTCGACCCCTCTCGTGGCTGGCACTGCTTGGGCCGAGCCACTCGCCCCCCACCAAAGGTGCGTGGTGCCTGTGCCCAGCCACACGGCCGCCGCCTGGTACAGTTCGGGCAACCGCGCCGCGACTCCTGCGAGGATCTTCTCGCGCGGCATTGTGTTGAACGCATTTGTGGCGTCGAACACTAAAACCAGGTTGCCAGGCGAGTCAGCCGTCAGTGCCGTCACGGCCTTATGGACCTTTTCGCACCCCGCCTGTCGTCCCAAAGCATACTCCTCCTCCTCCTCCTCCTCCTCCTCCTCCTCCTCCTCCTCCTCCCACTCCCCCTCCTCCTCCTTCTCCTCCTCCTCCTCCTCCGCCTCCTCCTCCTTCTCCCTCTTCCACCTTCTCCTCCTCCTCCTCCTCCTCCTCCTCTTCCTCCCCCTCTTCCTCCTCCTCCTCCTTCTCCTCCTCCGCCTCCTCCTCCTCCTCCCCCTCCTCCTCCTCCTTCTCCTTCTCCTCCTCCTCCTTCTCTTTCTCCTCCTTCTTCTCCTCCTCCCCCTTCCTCCTCCTCTTCCTCCTCCGTGTTTACTGTTCCGAGGCGGCCACGGTGTCTTCCGCGGGCAGCCAAACGAGAGATGGGGGACGGAGAGTTGAGAGGCTAGGCGCAGTGGGACGGGTGCAGCGCGGCCGCGCTTGCGCCCGAACCCCAGCAGGCGGCAGCCCGCCAGTGCCTCCTTCTTCTCCGCCGCCCCGGCGAAGTCGAGCCTCGGCCTCCCAGCGCCTGGCTTCACGAAGCCACTGCTGGCGCCGAGGGAGGTGCCGTTCTCGGCGCCCGTGGTAGTCGGCGCCCATGGGGACCTCGCTGTGCGGGTCCGCTGCCTGGTAGAAGGGTGCCGTGTCAGCCTCCAACGGCCACCACTCCGTCGAGACAGGGCGCCCTGCCCACCTCCTGGCCACTGCAGCTGCGAAGGCCGAGGCGACTGCTTGGCACGTGCGGCGGGGGTACTCCTTGAGTGGCGCTGCGCGCCATCTGTCGCTGTCGTTGACGCCGAGCTGCACCGCGTGGTAGTTGTCCGTGTGGCAGCACCTACCTGCCTTAGGCAAGAGCCTTATCTCCCCGCGGATCCCGGGGATGCAGATGGCCCCCAACCTCGTGGGCTTCTTGGATCTAGCTCCCGCCTGGCACTGTTCGAAGTCGACGTGCTCAGCCCACGGCTGGGCGAAAAAGTGCTTGAACTCTGGAAGCCCCCAACATGACGCACGATCTGGGTCCGCAGGCTCGGCTGGGTGCTCGATCGTGCCAGGCGCGTCGTAAGCCCCGCAGAGGTACAGGAAGAGCACCTGCACTCTCACGAGGAGGTTCCCAGTAGTAACCTGCTCCCTCTCGGCGTCCCCTAGGTGGTGAAGCCCCCCGGGGCGACGAGCTGATCGCAGCGGGCGCGACGGGCGGCGCGCTGTGGGTCCGCGTGGTGTCGCGCCTGCCACCAGGTCTCGCATGGGGGGCCGCCCAGGAGCTCCGCGACCCTGCCTGCCGCGAAGAGGTCCTTCCAGAAATTCACACTCTCGGGTCACGCAAGGTCGCCTCGGACACGATCGTTCGCCACGTCGACCGATTGCATAATTATATCGTGGCCAGATGCAGCTCGGACGGCCTCGAACCAGTGGTGGATGTCTCCTTCCCTCCTCCTTCCGCTGAATAAGTGCAGCACGTACATTGCGGCGGTGCCAATGGGGCGGTCGATCGTGCGGGTCGCGGCTTGCTCGGCCTCAAGCATGGGGGGACAATCGCGAGCACGTCCTCGGCGAGGCGCGCTGGGGGTCGGAGTTGAGGTCCATAGAATGGTCTACAGGGTATCTGGGCCCAGTCGCTGACTCTCCCTGCCCTGCGGTTGGCCGCTTGGGCGGCCCTGATGGCCTTGGCGTTCTCGTGGAACAGGGCGTCGGATGCCTGGCCGCCGACGACGTCCTTCCATGCTCGAGCGCACGCCGCTGCGCGGCTGAGGTGCCTGCAGAGACGATTGATCATGTGATAGTCCTTGCGGCAGATCTGGCACGCGGTGCCCTGTGCCCAACGCCGCGGGTCGTCCTGGCTCGGGTGCTCCTGCGCGCGGTGCTTGGCGACCGCAAGTCGCGAAGTGTCAGCGAAGCCACACTCGTAGCAACAGAACCGTGGGGTTGCCCTGGTGCTCTGGTCTTGGAACGCGGGAGTGCGGTCGGTGTTGGTCACCTGCTCGAGCTGGGCGCGCCACCGGCCCCTCTGCTCCTTGTCGTAGGCTGCCCAGGTAGAACGACGGAGTGCTCGCGCTTGTAGGCCTCGGGCGAGTTGCGGGCCCATTCGGCCATGTTGTCGAGGACCATGGCAGCGGCTACCTCGTCTGGGTCGGCGTACTCGCGAACCGTTGAGAGGTCGTGTCGCAATTGCTGGGCCCAGCCGTAGTTGAGCTCCCATCCTGCATTGAGTAGAGCTCGCAGCTGCCGCGGAGCATGCTGCAGTACTCGCGGTAGGAGTCGTACCCTGGCCAGCCTCAGTGCGTCACAATCCTGGAGCCGCTGCGCCTCTTGGACCACCATGAGGTTAGTAATGTGGCCATGAACCCGTGCGCGCCATGACTTCCACAATGCCTGCGCATGCGCCAAATGGTATTGCCTTGTGAAGTTGGCCAGGGGCTCGCCGACCAATTCAGGCCACGTGCACGCGTTGTAAAAGAGCTGTGAGTGGGAGATCGCGTCAGTGATGGTGAGCTTGTGCCTGACAGCCAGCGCGCGCCTGGAGTAGACCTCACGAGCCAATGGCAGCGACGAAGCCGAAGCCTTCCTGACCCTCTTGGCAAGCTCGGCGCCGATGGTTCCGTCGTCGGATATGACTGTCCCGAGCATGCGCTGAGACCGCAGTACCTCGATAGACTCGTCGATGCTGTCCACCCTGATGCGATGTCGTCCTTGGAGTAGAACTCCTGCTTGTGGCGCAAGTAGCCGGGGCCCTGGAAGCATAGCATGATGACAGTCTTGGCGGCCTTGGCCTCCTCCTCGTCCTCCTCCTCCTCCTCCTCCTCTTCCTCCTCCTCCTCGTCCTCCTCCTCCCCTCCCCCTCCCCCTCCCCCCCCTCCGCTCCTCTCCTGTCCTCCTCTTCCTCCCTCCTCCTCCTCCCCTCCTCCTCCGCCGCCTCCGCCTTCCCTCCCCCCCCTTCCCCTCCTCCTCCCCCTCCTCCCTCCTCCCCCTCCTCCTCCTCCTCCTCCTCCTTGTCCTCCTCCTCCTCCTCCTCCTCCTCCTCCTCCTCCTCGTCCTCCTCCTCCTCCTCCTCCTCCTCTCCCCTCTCCTCCTCCCCCTACTTCCTCCTCCTCCTCCTCCTCCTCCTCCTCCTCCTCCTCCTCCCTCCTCCTCCTCCTCCTCTTCCTCCTCCTCTCCTCCTCCTCCTCCTTCCTCCTCCTCCTCCTCCTCCGTCCTTCTCCCCTCCTCTCCTCCCTTCCTCCTCCTTCCTTCCTCCTCCTCCTCTTCCTCCTCCTCCTCCTCCTCCTCCTCCTCCTCCTTCTCCTCCTCCTCTCCTCCTCCTCCTCCTCCCCCTCCTCCTCCTCCTCCTCCTCCTCCTCCCCTCTCCTCCCTCTCCTCCTCCTCCTCCTCCTCCTCCTCCTCCTCCTCCTCCTCCTCCTCCTCCCTCCCCCCCCCCTCCCCCTCCCCCTCCTCCTTCCCCTCCTCCGCCTCCTCCTCCCTCCTCCTCTCCTCCCCTCCTCCTCCTCCTCCTCTTCTCCTCCTCCCCTCCTCCTTCCCCCTCCCCCTCCTCCTCCTCCTCCGCCTCCTCTCCTCCTCCTCCTCCTCCTCCTCCTCCTCCTCCTCCTCCTCCTCCTCCTCTCCCTCCTTCCACGCCTCGTCGTCGAGAGAGAGAGAGAGAGATGGAGCAGCGGGAGTACGTCTGAGAAGCCCTCCTCGGGGCGGTGCCCCCGCGCGGCCGCCCGAACTGCCTGCGGGCGCCCCTTCAGGACGGGCCCGCCCTCCCCGCCCTTCTCGACCGCGCGCATCGGCAGCCCGACCCCCGCGCCAGACCACGTGGGCCTGGGCCCCACGCCGCCGCCACGCGGCCCTCGGGGATAACGACAGAGGGTGGGCCCAGAGATCCAACGTCTTGAAAAAACCAAGACGGAGGTTTTGTAAAGTTTTTGGCCTCTAAGGGCCCTCGCTGGGCCCCGGGACCTTCAAAAAACGACTCAGGACGACAAACCGGTCCCGGGGAAAGGGTCGGGATTTCCAGGGAGCCCGTATTGAAAAAATCAAGACATCGGATGTCTGGGGGGATGGGCATGGGCCAGACCCCATAGAGTCATGAGAAAATCATGCCCGGGCAGTTTTTCGCTATTTTCGGCCTCCCGCGGGGCCCTTCTCGGGCCTCGGGACTGTCAAACAATGCGTCAGGAATGAAAAACCAGTCCTGGGGAATGAGTCGAGACCTCTGGGGATCGACGTCATGAAATCCGGGGATCGACGTCATGAAACAATCATGACGTCGGGGGTCTAGGAGGGAGGATGTATCGATCTCGAATGGCTGATACATTGACGATGCATCGACGATGCATGTGTGCCGACGGTGTAAAGACGATGCATGGGGCGGCCTCCATCGACGATGCATCGACGATCAGATGGGTGATGTATCGGCCATCCGAGGTCGATGTACCCCCCCTACTTACGTCGACCCCCTATCGTTGCTCCTCAGGCCCCTCGCGGCTGGGCCCCAGCCTGCCGGCCTACAGCCTGAGCCGCACGGGCCCGCTGCCGCCCGCGCTGGACCCCCTGAGCCCTGGCAGCCCGCCCTCGCCGCGGGGCCTGGGCCGCCTGGGCTCCCCCACACCCGCCTACGGCATCACAACCCCAGGCCCGCCCCCGCCGGCGCCCGACCCGGCCAGCACGGGCCCGCCGCCGCCCGTGCGGTCCCCCCTGCGCGCGGGGGCGCCCCCGCCGGCGTATGGCCTGGCGCAGCCCGGCGCCAGCACGCCGGCTCCCGACCCCGTGTGTCTCGGCCCCTCGCCGCCGCTGCGGAGCCCGGTGCGCGCGGGCCCGCCCCCGCCCGCGTGGGGCACGGTGCGCCCGGGCTCAGCGCTCCCTGCGCTCGACCACGCGGAGCCCGGCCCCCCGACGCCGCCCAGGACGCCCATGCGTCCGGGCCCAGCGCCGTCGGCGTACGGCCCGACGCGCCCCGGGTCGCCCACCCCCGCGCTTGACCTCGTGCAGCCAGGCCCGACGCCGCCGCCGCAGGAGGCGTGCCGTTCTGGCCCCACGACCCCAGCGTCTGGCCCGGCGCACCCGGGGCCCTCCCAGCCAGCACTCGACCTCGTGAATCTTGGCTCGCCGACGCCGCCCAGGAGCGCATCGAGACCAGGGCTGGCGCCGCCCGCGTACGGGCTGTCGCGTCCCGGCCTGTCGACGCCAGCCCCCGACCTCGTGAGCCTCGGCAGCTCCCTGTCAGTCCGCAGCCCTGTGCTCTTGGGGCCACCGCCGCCGGCCTACTCCGTGACAAGGCCTGGCAGCTCACCGCCCGCGCCCGACCACGTGCAGACGGGCCCCACCCTGCTGCCTCGGAACTCGCTCCGCCCAGGGTCCTCCTCCTCGACCCACGGCCACTCCCGCACTGGGCCGTGCACGCCAGCGTACGATCTCCTCATCTTCACGAGCTCGCTGCCGCCGCGCAGCTTCTTCCGCCCAGGGCCCCCCATGCTGGCCTATGGGCTCTCGCGCCCTGGGGCTCCGCCGCCCGCCATGGACCTCGTGCAGCTGGGTAGCCCCCCGCCCCCCCGCAGCACGTTCCGCGCTGGGCCTTCCCCGCCCGCGTACGGCCTGTCCCAGCCGGGCCTCCCACTGCCTGCGACGGACCCTCTCAGCCTCGGGCCGCCGCTACCGCCACGCAGCTCAATGTGCTCTGGCCCGACGACGCCCGCCTACGGCCTGGTGCGGCCAGGCCCGAGCCCGCCCGCTCCCGACCTCGCTTCGCCCGGCAGCCCGTCGCCGCCCAGGAGCCACGTCTGCCCAGGCCCTCCGCTCTCGCCTTTCGGCATGGGGCGGCTGCGCTCCACCTCGCCTGCGCCGGACCCCGTGGAGCTCGGCTCGAGCATCTCGATCACCTCCTTCGCGCGGCTGGGGTCGTCGTCGCCTGCGTACGGCACGTCGCGCCCAGGGTTGCCGCCGCCCACGCCCGACCACGTCTCCTCGGGCTCGCCGCTGCCGCCGCGCGGCACAGCGCGCCCTGGCCTGGCGGCGTCTGCCTATGGCGTGGCTCGGCCCGGCTGCGCGCTGAGCCGTGCCCTGCCCGACGACCAAGGTGTTGCTGTCGCCCACCGATCGCCCGATCGTGGCGGTCCTGATAGGCACGGCCGCGCCTGACCCGCCAGAGGGACCCAGGGATCTCCCGATCGGGGGCGCCCACGGTCGCCCATGCCTTTGGGGGCCCGATCTCCAACTGGGTGCCGCGGGGTGGGATGGGGCATCGGGCGACCAGCGCTTGGCCCGATTTGTGATTCGTGCAGGAGCGTAACTGTTTGGCAAAGTGGGAGCATCTTCGCTGCGATGGCCGCTCTCGGCTCGAGAGGTCTGGTCGAGATGGTGTCAAGGAACCGCCCAGAGGCCGATGGCGATGTAGCCAATATCAGGAGTTGTGTTTTTTCAATGTGCGGCCCCAGAGGTTCCGACCCTTTCCCTGGGGGTTAGTGTTTCGTCCTGGATCCAAGTTTATGGTCCTGAGGCCTGACGCCAGGCCGAAATCGAGGAAACGCGCCAGATTAACAAAACCACATCGTCGGAGACCTGGGTATTTTTTCCGCGGCGCGACTGGACACGTCGTCGACCATTTGTCTCTGGAGTTTTTAGGGGTCCCGAGGGCACAAGGCGAACGCGCCAGTCGTACTCCTCCAGCCAAGAGGGGGGTGGACATCATGGCTGGGGCCGTGAGATCTTCCTGGGTTTCATGCCCCCCCCCTGCTTATGTCGACGCGTCCCTCGGCCCCCCCTCGGCCGCGCACGTGCCTCGGGCCATGACTTGCGACTCCCTCTCTTGGACGCCCTCCTCTGGGACGCCGCTCAGACGAGGCTTGAGCTCTGCCAGCCCAGACTCTGAGGGGCCCCAGAGCGCGAGCTGGGATAGGGCTCCGATCTTTTTTCTCTCCTGGTCGAGGTGCCCGGCGCCGACCCAAGGAATCCGCGCGGACCTCCGAACGTGAGTGCCTTCGTTCCTCTAGGGATGGGACTCTGTGACCGTTCTTGCTCGGGTGCACGCGGCGCGCGATCCTCGCGGGGAGTGCCGCGCGTCGGCGAGGTTCGGGCAGGCCCCTTCAGAGCATTCGATCGGCGCCACCCCAACATACCAATACTATGTGTGCGTCGCCCCCCATGGGGCGACGCGCGCACCGAGAAATCTTATAGTATATGCGTCATGGCGGGCGCTTTCTGGCCACACCGCTCGGGAAACGATCTGCTACAAGAGGGGTAATAGATGTTCGGGTCGGACGCGCGCCTCCAAGGATGCCTAGAATATCTCTGTGCGTCCCATTCGGAGACAGCGGCAAGGGCTGGGCTGCACCGCGGGCAGCGGTGTGGCTGGAGCCCAGAGGTGCGCACAGCGCCCCCCCCCCAGCTGGCCGCCCTCGCCGCATCTTCAAGCACAGGACACGGCGTCAGGGCACGGCGTAAGAGGAGGAGGAGGAGGAGGAGGAGGAGGAGGAGGAGGAGGAGGAGGAGGAGGAGGAGGAGGAGGAGGAGGAGGAGGAGGAGGAGGAGGAGGAAGTTGCAGGCCAGGCCTCGGGAGGCCGATGGAGGCGGTGCAACCTCGGGCTTCGAGGTTCCCAGCACAATTAACCTAGCGGTCCCAAAGCTGAGCTGGCGACGTCGTCTGCAAAACGGCGGGGGGTCGTTCCAACCTCGGCCTTTTGCTCTTTTGCAGGGTAGCGGCCCAGGGGGGAATGTCGACCCCGACTCGCCGAATCATCGCCGATCGTGCCCTGGGCACCCGACCCTGTCCAGGACTGTCCCGTCTCGCTATTGGGGGCCTACCAGCGACCTGTTGGCGACGCATCGCCGATCTCTAGGTCGATGCTCCCCTCCCCCCCCCAAGACAGCCCCTCACCTCTCGGCGCCCCACACACGAGTTATGGAAGAAGACGAGGTCGACTGCGCGGACATCCGCGCGTAAGCTTATCGCGTATGGTCGCGCGTGAGCGCCCTCTATTCCACGCGGTGTGTTACACTGGCGGCTCGCATAAGCTCTGGCTCAAGGATGCGATGCCTTCTCGCGTCAAGCCTTTTTTCTTTTCGTCGCTCACACAGTGTCGACAGGGGGGGCGTGGCCCGACGACTCCATCGCTGTTCTGCCAGCAGGGCCCTCGAGCCACGGATCGATCTGTCGTCAGAGACCATCTGAGCGACTCAACAAAACGGGGTTGTCTGCGCGTAAGCTGCCTGCGTAAGGTCGCTCGTGAGGTCAGGCGTAAGCGCCCTCGCTTCCAGCGTGGCCTGCCACGATGACGGCCCGCGTAAGCCACCGCGTAAGGTCGTTGCGTCAGCTGGCGTAAGACCCGCTTTGGTCAAGGGAAGACAAACCACCCGGACCCGATAATCAGCGTTTTCTAAGCGGCCCTGGGCGTTTACTAAACAACCCTGCCCAGTTCGATTCCTTCTTTGGGTGCGTTTACTAAACGGCCTCGCTTGTCGGGGTGGTCATTGTGGGGGTGTTTTTTGTGCCCTCCGGGTTGTCGGATACCAGCTGGAGGCCGTCCCGAGAGCTCCTGCCGGGGCCCTGGCTGCCGGCACAGCGGCCCTGCCGCTCGTGCACAGATGAGATCGCGCGCGGACGTCGCCGACGGTGAAGATGTTCGTTCTGGGGACCGCCCTTCGAGTAGGGGATCGACTACAGAGTCGATTTACCCCAACATTGAGATTGTTCGTTGGGTCTGCAGGAAAGTGAGTAGGTTCGCAGATCTACGAACATTCTACGTACGTGTTAGCAGATTCGACGAATAGGTCATGTCTGGGGTAAATCAGTTCTGTAGTTCCGTAGCCATTTTGGCTCAAGATCCGACCCACGCGCACAGACCAGAAGGCATCGGCAGCTCCGCTGTTTCCTCACCCAAGCAGCAGAGATGGCGCCGATGATGAAGTCCACGGTCATGACCAAGAGCGCCCTCACCGCAGCGCTGGCGGAGGCCTGCGAGGTGAAGAGGGGCGTGATCGGCACGGCCTTGAGCACTCTCGCGAGCATTGCGACAAAAGAGGCGAAGAAGAACGGCAAGTTCGTCATCCCGGGCGTTGTGATGATCAAGACCCGCCAGAAGAAGGCGACCAAGGCAGGGAAGCGCGAGATCTTCGGCAAGGTCGTCATGGTGAAGGCGAAGCCGGCCAAGACCATCGTGAAGGCCTTCCCCGCGAAGGCCCTCAAGGACGAGTTCTGAGGGCCTCCCAGTCTGCCAGTCTGTGGCGAGCCCCGCGAAGAGGCTCCGCATGTGCTCCCTCAGTTCCTCCTCGTCCATCCCTCCCTTCTCCGAGGATTCTTCGTGTCATCTTTTCCAGGTTGGCTGGAGGGTGCGTGGTCATGCATGGCCTTCCGGTGCCAGGACGCTCGGCGAGGGCGACCATATGTATTCCACATCCGCCGCGCAGACAAAATCAGTTCTGTAGTCGATCATCCCCCACTCGAGCCCTGGGGCCCACCTGACGGATCTGGCTCGGCTCCAGCTCCTCTCGAGTTCGACTCTAGCTCGGCTCGAGCTCGGCTCAAGCTCGACCAAGGTCGACGGACGTCCGACGCAGCCTCGACGCGTGAGTGGAGCGAGTGGCTCCCGGAAGGCCCTCCCGAACGAGCATCTCGCGAGTTTTGAGACGGGGGTCCGTGCAAATTGGGGTCAGCCAGAGCGCCGGATGTTGCAGGATATCCTGCAAAGCCAGCGTCGCACTGACCCGGGCTTGCGAACAGGATCTTGCAGGATCCTGCAGAGCCTGACTGACCCGGATTTGCATTGACCCTCATCACCCACCAAATCACCCCAACCGAACCCGATTCTGAGTTGGAGGGGGGTCGGGGAATATTGACAAATTACCTTGGCGACGTACCTAACCCTTGCGCAATGCGGGGCATAAGTACACCAGGATTGCTACTACGGGGGCGATGACGTAACAAGGACGCATGTGATTTTGCGAGCAGCAATCGGAAGGCTCGCAGGCCCCCGATGAAGATATAAGGGCGTCGTAGTGGTTACTAACGCAGCCCCCCCCAGGGACGGCGAGGTCTCGCTCAGGTCCCCGCGGTGCCTCAGTCCGCTGGACCCACCAGCAGCCCTCGAAAGTGGCGACAGTGTCGCAGATCGCAGCCCCCCAGGGACGGCGAGGTCTCGCTCAGGTCCCCGCGGTGCCTCAGTCCGCTGGACCCAACAGCAGCCCTCGAAAGTGGTGACAGTGTCGCAGATCGCAGCCCCCCAGGGACGGCGAGGTCTCGCTCAGGTCCCCGCGGTGTCTCAGTCCGCAGGACCCACCAGCAGCTCTCGAAAGTGGCGACAGTGTCACAGATCGCAGCCCCTCCAGGAACGGCGAGGTCTCGCTCAGGTCCCCGCGGTGCCTGAGTCCGCTGGACCCAACAACAGCCCTCGAAAGTGGCGACAGTGTCACAGGTCGCAGCCCCCCAGGGACGGCGCGGTCTCGCTCATGTCCCCGCCCCGCGGTGCTTCACTCCGCTGGATCCACTAGCAGCCCTCGAAAGTGGCGACGGTGTCGCAGATCGCAGCCCCCCAGGGACGGCGAGGTCTCGCTCAGGTCCCCGCGGTGCCTCACTCCACTGGACCCACCAGCAGCCCTCGAAAGTGGCGACTGTGTCGCAGATTGCAGCCCCCCAGGGACGGCGAGGTCTCGCTCAGGTCCCCGCGGTGCCTCAGTCCGCTGGACCCACCAGCAGCCCTCGAAAGTGGCGACAGTGTCGCAGATCGCAGCCCCCCAGGGACGGCGAGGTCTCGCTCAGGTCCCCGCGGTGCCTCAGTCCGCTGGACCCACCAGCAGCCCTCGAAAGTGGCGACGGTGTCGCAGATCGCAGCCCCCCAGGGACGGCGAGGTCTCGCGGACGGCGAGGTCTCGCGCAGGTCCCCGCGGTGCCTCACTCCGTCGGGCCCAACAGCAGCCCTCGAAAGTGGCGACAGTGTCGCAAATCGCAGCCCCCCAGGGACGGCGCGCACACGCACACACAAACACGAGGTACGCACAAGACAAGAGGAGACAAGAGGAAAGCGAGAGGCGAGAGGCGGGAGGAGGAGGACTGGAGACCGCAGTGTTTTATTCAAAACGAATACCCAACCCAGGAGGGTTGGGAAAAAAACGCATGTGGAACCCGTACCCCCCCAACCCGAAATTTGGGTCTTCGGTTGGGTTGGGGGTTGTCTGGTAGGTAGTCAGACCCTGGGTCCCCAGACCCCCGACGTAGTGTTTTTTTCGCAGCGTCGACCCCTCCGAGGTCCGGACCTCTCCCCCAGGACCGGTTTCTCGTCCCGAGCCGTTTTTTGACGGCCCCGAGGCCCAGCGACGGCCTCCAGAGGCCGAAAATGGCGAAACACCCTCCCTTTTTCGCGATCTCTTCATGACTCGAGGGGGTCTGGGCCAGTAGATCCCCGAGCACCTGCGCGACGGCGACGGCGGCAGCGACCACGATGGGCGGGCCTCCGCGGCCGCCGAGGCCCTCCGCCCGCGGCCTTGGACCCCATCCAGACCGGCCCGCCGACGCTGCCGCGGAGCACCGCGCGCACTGGACCGCCGCCGCCGGCGTACGGCCGCGCTCGCCCTGGCGCCCCGCCGCCCGCGCCGGACCCCGCCTGTTCGGGGCCGCCGCCACCCCCCCGCAGCCACGCGCGTCCTGGGCCGCCGCCGCCTGCATCTGGCACGACCACGCCCGGCCCGCCGCCGCCGACGCCGGACCTCCTGTCTCCCGGCCCGCCCACGCCGCCGCAGAGCCTTCTGCGCCCCGGCCCGCCGGTCCGTGCCCGTTGCCGCTGCCGCTGCTGCTGTCGCTGTCGCTCTCTGTCCCTACTCTGTATAATTACCCGGAGATCCGACGCTCTCCGAAGGAATGGGAGCGGCCGATTGTGGGTCGTTCTCCGCCTCCGGGGGCCTCCAGCGGGCCTCGGCCCTCTAAAAAATGACTCGGGACGGGAAGCCAGCCCTGGGGAAGGGGTCCAGACCTCCAGGGCCCGCGCACCGAAACAATCGGAGCGGCCAGATGTTTGGGTAAGGTAGGTTCATGCGGCGATGGCGCGGCGGCGACGCGAGCAAAAGCGTCCAAGGTTGAACCCTGCGACGCGGAAGCACTGAGGGACGCGGTGACGCCACAGGACCCGACCGAATTCAACCTTGAACGATCGGGGCCGCGATCGGTTCAGGATTGAACGATCGACGCAGTGTCGACAACCTTTCCACGCGCCGACGCCGCGCGAATCTATGTACCGTACACGTGATCGTCAGGGCCACGCCGACCCCTTTCTGGGACGGGGTAGCTGCTCGGGTGGCGGGATCCTGCGCGTGGCACCCCCGCCCCTGGCTGGGTCCTGTCTGTGCCCAGGAGTGGTGCGCACGCGCCTGCGGCCTGGCCGTGGAGCCAGAGAACTACACGGATCCTGGGCCCAGGATGGGCCTGGCCAGAGGTGGTGAATGTGTGTAGGCCTTTCCGGAGTTTCAAGTGGCTCTCCCAACATGCCCTCTTCCTGGTGGGGACGGGTACTGCGAAACCCGAGGGAGACGGCACCCACCCACACCTGGGAGGGCTGGGTCGGCTGGCACGTGTGCTTCGGTGCTTGGTACTGGCGCCGCTCCGCTCCTCTCCGCTCCCACTTGCTCTTCCACTTCCGCTTTCTCCTCCTCGACCCCCGACGTCATTTTTCCCAACCATCCTGTGGTGTTGGGTCCTCGTTTTGAAGAAACGGTCCCCGCGTTCCTCCTTCTCCTCCTTCTCCTCCTCCTCCTTCTCCTCGCCCTCCTCCCTCCTGCGTTCGCATGCCTCCCCACCACCCATTTCGGCACACCCCTCACACGTTTCGTGGCCCCATAGGGAGCTCCACCGAAGCCCCAGTGGCTGCGTTCGCATGCCTTAGCACATCACAGGGAGCTCCACCGAAGGCCCCAGTGGCTGGTTCGCATGCCTCCCCACCACCCATTTCGGCACACCCCTCACACGTTTCGTGGCCCCATAGGGAGCTCCACCGAAGGCCCCAGTGGTGCGTTCGCATGCCTCCCACCACCCATTTCGGCACACCCCTCACACGTTTCGTGGCCCCATAGGGAGCTCCACCGAAGGCCCCAGTGGCTGCGTTCGCATGCCTCCCCACCACCCATTTCGGCACACCCCTCACACGTTTCGTGGCCCCATAGGGAGCTCCACCGAAGGCCCCAGTGGCTGCGTTCGCATGCCGCCCCCACACCATTTCGGCACACCCCTCACACGTTTCGTGGCCCCACAGGGAGCTCCACCGAAGGCCCCAGTGGCTGCGTTCGATGCCGCACACCCATTTCGGCACACCCTCACACGTTTCGTGGCCCACACGTTTCGTAGGGAGCTCCACCGAAGGCCCATGCGTTCGCATGCCTCCCCACCACCCATTTTTCGGCACACCCCTCACACGTTTCGTGGCCCCATAGGGAGCTCCACCGAAGGCCCCAGTGGCTGCGTTCGCATGCCTCCCCACCACCCATTTCGGCACACCCCTCACACGTTTCGTGGCCCCATAGGGAGCTCCACCGAAGGCCCCAGTGGCTGCGTTCGCATGCCTCCCCACCACCCATTTCGGCACACCCCTCACACGTTTCGTGGCCCCATAGGGAGCTCCACCGAAGGCCCCAGTGGCTGCGTTCGCATGCGTCCCCACCACCCATTTCGGCACACCCCTCACACGTTTCGTGGCCCCATAGGGAGCTCCACCGAAGGCCCCAGTGGCTCCCCACCACCCATTTCGGCACACCCCTCACACGTTTCGTGGCCCCATAGGGAGCTCCACCGAAGGCCCCAGTGGCTGCGTTCGCATGCCTCCCCACCACCCATTTCGGCACACCCCTCACACGTTTCGTGGCCCCATAGGGAGCTCCACCGAAGGCCCCAGTGGCTGGTCCGCATGCCTCCCCACCACCCATTTCGGCACACCCTTCACACGTTTCGTGGCCCCATAGGGAGCTCCACCGAAGGCCCCAGTGGCGCGGTGCCTATGAGAAGAGGGGCCTAGTTTGCGTGCCCCCTCCTTCGTCTCATATCCGTGCGGTACTCGCAGCTGCATATGGTTGGGTCCTTCGCCAGGCTAATTTTTCATAACGTCGACCCCCAGAGGTCTCGACCCATTCCCCGGGACCGGTTTTTCGTCCTGAGTCGTTTTCTGACGGTCCCGAGGCCCAGTAGGGGTACGCAGATTTTGTGAAAATAGCGAAAAATTGTCCGTCATGATTTTTTGCTTTTCATCCCGAGCCTGTTTTTGACGGCCCCGAGGCTCTGTAAGGTCCCCCAGAGGCAGAAAACAGCGGAAAACCCTCCCGTCGTGTTTTTTTTGTTCTTCGTAGCTCGAGGGGGAGCCTGGGCCGTTCTCCTCCCGCGCAAGCGCTTCCCGCGTACGGTCGCGCGTTTAAGCGGTCTCGTTTCTACTGTAGCGTGCCGCGCTGGCGGCCCGCGTAATCCGCGGCGTTTGGTTGCTATGTTTCGAATGCAACTCCTGGGAGGTCAAACTCTGACATTGCCCTGGTCCGAAATCAGGTCGAAATCGACTCAATCCGTTTGATTCCGCTTAATCCCGCTTAATCCGACGTAGTCACAGTTAATCCGCGGCCTAATCCGGCGTAGTAGCCTCCCAATGGGGATACATTCTTTTTAATCCTGCCGACGAAGACCTCCCAGTAGTTGCAGCCTAACTACAGTATGCCTTCTTGCGCAAGACCCGTTTGTCTTCGTCGCTCTAATCTCTCATGGTGGCACGATGGCTATGTGACGTGCCAGGGGCTGCGCGCGCGAAGGAGGACGGGAGGGGGGGGGATCTTTGGTTCGTCGCCCACCTGCTCGTCCTCTTCCCCCCCCTTCAGGTCGCGGCATACGGATGCGTCCGCCCGGGCAGCCCGACGCTTGCCCCCGACCCCGTGCACCCAGGCTCCACGCCGCCGCCGAGGAGCGCCCGCCTCACGTCTCGCTCGGGCGGATGGGGGGGCGAGAGTGACGGGGCCCAGCGACGCTCGAGGAACCCCAAATATGTCGGGGGTGGACAGACCTCCTACCCTGACACGTCGATTGAGGAATTGGCCGTTTTCGGTTCGCGAGAGGGCGTCGCGGCCGTCATTTTTGCGGGTCCAGGTCCGTCGGTTTCGGTCCCAGGCCGTCTTCACTACAGGGAGACTTACTGAAGGGAGGTTTAGGTTTGTCCACTGCCGAATATGGACTGTGGCGCGTGGACCAGCGACGGTTGGACACGGCTGGGGGTCTGAGGTGGCCCAGTCGTGGTTCCAGCCAGCAGGAAGGCTCGAGGGTTCTGGATGCGTTTTTTTTTTTTTTTTTAGTCTTAGTTGTTTTTTTTTTTTTTTTTTGTTTCCGCCTCTGGGGGCCGTTTTTGGGCCGCGGGAGTGTCGACAGCGGATCTGGGGTGACAAAATCTACACCAGATGGACCCTGGGTGGGGTTCGGGGACCGATTTTGAGCGGATTTGGCTTCGCCCCCCCCCCCCCCCTCTTGATCGATTTTCTGGGGCCCCATCCAGTTCGGAGCTCCAGCCGCCTCCGACGCGCATTATCGGAGGCGGCAAAGAGGGGGGTGAGGACTAGGGGTGTGTGGATATCGTGGCGGGGGGCATGATATCTCCCCCGGTTTCATGGCGCCTCTTCTTATTTCAATGCGTCCCTGGCCACCCCAGGCCGCGCACATGCGATCGGCCATGATTTTCGCCCCCCCCTCTCGGACGCCCGTCTCCATGCAAATCGGCGCGCTCTGTTGCCAAATGAGGCGGCGCTGGCCTCATGTTTCGGGGGGGTACCTTCCCGATCCATGCAGGCGTGCGCCCGAGGAGCGGATGCTGCCAGCAGGATGCACGAGGTGCTGGCGAGGGGAGGGACCCATGCGTTCAACGATCCCCAGCGACGCGATGAATCGAGGGAAAACACCAGATGACCATGTCCAAGATGTCGCGGATCTTACCGATGCCGATCTTGGTCATGCCGACCGTCGCTGACTCGCGAGGATGATCCACGAGTTGAACATGACCGAGATGGACGATGAGCAAGGTCGGCTCCGACGTTCCCACGTTCAGTCTTGGTCATGGTCCTCGTGTTCTTTCCCTTCAATGGAGGAGTGCCGTTTTTTCGGCATCAAGGGGACAGACGCTTCCGGGCCCCAGGACTGTGAGAGAACGGCCCTGGATGAGAGGCCGTTTCTGGGGATCGGGTCTGGGGTTCCTGGGGCCGATGCTGGCTCCAGAGAGGTCGAGTCGTCGGAGGTTTGGGACGACGCGCCGAAGGGGGGAGGGGAATGGGAGGAGAGGAGCACGGACAAACCGCCATGCTCACGCTGGTTGTCGTAGCGCTAGCTGCCTTCGCGCACGTCTTCGTTTCAAGCGTGCGCTCACATTCGAAACCAATGGCAGCACGGTTCTGTCATCACGATGGACCAAGCTTTTCGCGCCAACTGCCGCGCAACGCTTTGAGGTCTCTGGGTGCCAACAATCGGTTGCTTCAACAGGCTTCTGCCCATCTCGACGTGGTCTTGTTCAGACTTCGACAGACACCCGCCTGTTCTCGTTTGAAGAACAAACGACGACACACACACACTTGCTTTCAGAAATGGGATCCAGTGCCGACCCGGGACGCCCGTGCTGATTTTCCAAAGTCTACGTGGATGTAGTGCATGTGCACATCCGCGCTGTCGTTGTACAGTCAAGACGCCGACTTCATAATCACTTTGGAATCAGCATGGATTCTTATTTTCGGGCCGTTCCTTCGAGCTAGGTTGGGGAGCCTCTTCGTGGCCGAGGCTCGCCGTGGCCAGAAACGCCCCTCACGCTCCTTATGTGAGCGACGGGGTCGATTGCGCCGACATTCGCGCGTACGCTTCCCGCGTAAGGCCGCGCGTACTTGCCCGGATCTCCACGCGCTGTGCCACGCTGGCGGCCCGCGTAAGCCGCGACGTAAAGTCGCCACGGTTTTCGCGTAAGACCCGTCTGTTTTCGTCGCCCATTCTCCTGGCATCGCTCGGACGTGTGCGTTTTTTTGTTTGTTACCTAACAGCGAAGACTGATAGGTTTCTAGTAGGGTCAAAAGAGAGCATCATGACGCCCCAGGGGGGTCTGGGCGCGATCCGGGGGAGGATGCTGGGGGGATGCCGGGGAACTCGTTTTAAGCAAACAGTAACGCACTTCGTGGTCTTCGAGTTCCCAGAACTCCATTCCTGGGCATGATTTTGAATGCCCGGAGCCAACTGTAGGCCACTTCGTGTTCTTCGTGTTCCCAGAACACCATTCCTGGGACACATTTTGGATGCCTGGAGCCAACTGTAGGCCACTTCGTGGTTTTCGAGTTTCCAGAACTGCATTCCTGGGCATGATTTTGAATGCCCGTAGCCAACTGTAGGCCACTTCGTGGTCTTCGAGTTCCCAGAACTGCATTCCTGGGCATGATTTTGAATGCCTGGAGCCAACTGTAGGCCACTTCGTGGTCTTCGAGTTCCCAGAACTGCATTCCTGGGCATGATTTTGAATGCCCGGAGCCAACTGTAGGCCACTTCGTGTTCTTCGAGTTCCCAGAACTGCATTCCTGGGCATGATTTTGGATGCCTGGAGCCAACTGTGGGCCACTTCGTGGTCTTCGAGTTCCCAGAACTGCATTCCTGGGCATGATTTTGAATGCCCGGAGCCAACTGTAGGCCACTTCGTGTTCTTCCAGTTCCCAGAACTCCATTCCCGGGCCACATTTTGAATGCTGAGGCAGGCTGATGCTGAGGCTGAGGCAGGCTGAGGCTGAGGCAGGCTGAGGCTGAGGCCGAGGCTGAAGGCAGACTGAGGCTGAGGCTGAAGCAGGCTGAGGCTGAGGCTGAGGCAGGCTGATGCTGAGGCTGATGCAGGCTGATGCTGAGGCAGGCTGAGGCTGAGGCTGAGGCTGATGCAGGCTGAGGCTGAGGGCTGAGGCTGAGGCCGAGGCTGAAGGCAGACTGAGGCTGAGGCTGAAGCAGGCTGAGGCTGAGGCTGAGGCAGGCTGAGGCTGAGGCTGAGGCAGGCTGATGCTGAGGCAGGCTGAGGCTGAGGCTGAGGCTGATGCAGGCTGAGGCTGAGGCAGGCTGAGGCTGAGGCCGAGGCTGAAGGCAGACTGAGGCTGAGGCTGAAGCAGGCTGAGGCTGAGGCTGAGGCAGGCTGAGGCTGAGGCTGAGGCAGGCTGAGGCTGAAGCAGGCTGAGGCTGAGGCTGAGGTTCATGCAGGCTGAGGCTGAGGCAGGCGGAGGCTGAGGCCGAGACTGAAGGCAGACTGATGCTGAGGCTGAAGCAGGCTGAGGCTGAGGCCGAGGCAGGCTGAGGTTGAGGCTGAGGCAGGCTGATGCTGCGCAGACTGAGGCTGAGGCTGAGGCAGGCTGAGGCTGAGGCAGAGGCTGATGCAGGCTGAGGCTGAGGCAGGCTGATGCTGAGGCAGGCTGAGGCTGAGGCTGAGGCTGATGCAGGGTGAGGCTGAGGCAGGCTGAGACTGAGGCCGAGGCTGAAGGCAGACTGATGGTGAGGCTGAAGCAGAGGCTGAGGCAGGCTGAGGCTGAGGCAGGCTGAGGCTGAGGCTGAGGCACTGAGGCTGAGGCTGTGACTGCGACTGCCGTTTCCACTGCGACTGTCATCGCGAATGCGACTACGACTGCCACAACAGCAGAATTCTACAACTGGATTCTCATCTGAATCTTAAGGGGAATGCTTCCAGATATGCTCCTGCACATCGCTGTTGGGTTGCTTTGCCCGTTTTTTTTTTTTTTTTTGTGTCGGCGAGGACCACCGATGACCATCGAGGAGCATCCTATGAGCACAAGACCGACACATGCACGAGGAATGGACGTCCGAGCGACGGTAAGTTACCTAACAGCGAAGACTGATAGGTTTCTGGTGGGGTCAAAAGAGAGCATCTTGACTCCCCAGGGGGGTCTGGGCAGGCAGGATCCGGGGGATGCCGGGGAGAACCGGGGACCCCCCATTTCCATTGCCAGGAGCAACATTTTGGCTGCCCGGAGCCAACAGAACACCACTCCCAGGCCACATTTTGAATGCCCGGAGCCAACTGTAGGCCACTTCGTGTTCTTCGTGCTCCCAGAACACCATTCCCAGGCCACATTTTGACTGCCCGGAGCCGACTGTAGGCCACTTCGTGTATTTCGTTCCCCAAAACATAATTCCCAGGCCACATTTCGATTGCCCGGGCCAACTGTAGAGACAATTTCGTGTTCTTCGTGTTCCCAGAACACCATTCCCAGGCTAATTTTGATTGCCCGGAGCCAGCTGTGGGCCACTTCGTGATCTTCGTGTTCCCAGAACACCAGTCCTGTGCCATATTTTGAATGCCCGAGCTGAGGCAGGCTGAGGCCGAGGCAGGCTGAGGCCGAGTCAGGCTGAGGCCGAGGCAGGCTGAGGCTGAGGCTGAGGCACGCCGAGGCAGGCTGAGGCTGAGGCTGAGGCAGGCTGATGCTGAGGCAGGCTGAGGCTGAGGCCTGAACGCAGGCTGAGGCCGAGGCAGGCTGAGGCTGAGGCGAGGCAGGCTGAGGCTGAGGCTGAGACAGGCTGAGGCTGAGGCTGAGGCTGAGGCAGGCTGAGGCTGAGGCAGGCTGAGGCCGAGGCCGAGGCTGCAGGCAGACGGAGGCTGAGGCTGAAGCAGGCTGAGGCTGAGGCTGAGGCAGGCTGTGGCTGAGGCTGAGGCTGAGGCAGGCTGATGCTGAGGCTGAGGCTGAGTCTGAGGCCCGAGGCAGGCTGAGGCCGAACAAGGCTGAGGCTGATAACTGAGGCTGAGGCGGAGGCTGAGGCCGAGGCAGAGGCCGAAGCTGAGACAAGGTGAGGCTGAAATGGGGGGGGAAGGGGTGGGGGGGAGGAGGGGAGGCTGAGGCAGGCTGAGGCCGAGGCAGGCTGAGGCCGAGGCAGGCTGAGGCTGAGGCTGAGGCAAGCCGAGGCAGGCTGAGGCTGAGGCTGAGGCTGAGGCTGAGGCTGAGGCAGGCTGAGGCTGAGGCAGGCTGAGGCTGAGGCTGACGCAGGCCGAGGCCGAGGCAGGCTGAGGCTGAGGCTGAGGCAAGCTGAGGCTGAGGCCGAGGCAGGCTGAGGCTGAGGTTGAGGCAAGCCGAGGCAGGCTGAGGCTGAGGCTGAAACTGAGGCAGGTTGAGGCATCCGTAGGAATCCATAGGAATCCTTAGGAATCTCTAGGAATCCTTGGGAATCCGTAGGCATCCTTGGGAATCCGTAGGCATAGTTAAGCATCCTCAGGAATCCTTAGGAATCCTTAGGATTCCATTGGATCCTAAGGCCGTTGCCACTGCGACTGTCATTGCGAATGCGACTGCGACTGCGAGAACAGCAGAATTCTACAACTGGATTCTCACCTGAATCTTAAGGGGAATGCTTCCAGATATGCTTTTACACATCGCTGTTAGGTTGCTTTGCCGGGATACTTTTGATTTTTCTCGTGGTAGCCCGATGGCTGCACGACTGGCTAGGGCCTGCGCGCGCGACGGAGGAGAAGGGAGGGAGGGAGGGAGGGAGGGAGGAGGGAGGGAGGGAGGCAGGAGGAGGGAGGGAGCAGGAGGGAGCAGATGGGAGGAGGAGGAGGAGGAGGAGGAGGAGGAGGGAGGAGGAGGAGAGGAGAGGAGGAGTGAGGAGGAGGAGGAGGGAGTGAGGAGGAGGAGAGAGGAGGAGAGGAGTGAGGAGGAGAAGTAGGAGGCGGCGGATTAGTGCGGAGGATGGCGAGGAGTCTGCGTGAGATGGACTGAGGCGGTCGATTCTTCGTCTGAGGCTGCTTCGTGCGTCTGCTGCTTCTTCTGGTCTGCCGTCTTTTTATGTCTTCGTCTATCTTTCTTCGGAGGCTTCTTTCGTCGTCGGTCTGTTGTGTTTTTGTTTTTGTGTTTTTCCTGGTCGCGTTCGCGTCCTTCGCGTCTTCTGCTTATCTTCTTGCTCTCTTCCTTCGTCTCTTTCTTCTTCTTCTTCTTGTCGTCTTGCTATCTGTCGTCTTCGGTCTGCTGCTTCTTCTCTTCTTCTTATTCTTCTGCTCCGTCTTCTTCTGCTTCTTCTTCTTCCTTCGTCTTCTGTCGTTCTTCCGCCTCTTCCTTCGTTCCATCGCCCTCCGCAGCCTCCTCCGCCGCCGCCGCCCAGCCGCCGCCTCCCCCGCAGCCTCACCAGCAGCCGCATCAGGGGCCTCAACCCGTGCCCACGCGCGCCTAGAAGGCGTCGCCGCCACGCCAGAGAACCGCGGGTCATGTAAGGCAATGCCGCCGTCTCATTGACAAGCTGATGCCTTCGTCCAGCCGAGCGGTAGTGTGCTCTTTCTGGGGCCTGGTACCAGCATTGGCAGGACGAGGATGTGCAGGGACAACGTTTGGGGGGGATAGACTCAGCGGGGATGCGCCGACCTCAATCGCTCATTCATCGCCTTTGGGTGCCTGATAGCCCACCCCGCCCAGTAACGCTCGGTTTCGCTCTCCGGGGCCTATCCCCGATTTATCGGTGATGCATCGCCGATTCCAGCTTGATGTTCCCCCCTGAGCCGGCCCGTCCTCCCCCTCACGTCCCCCTCAAGGTGGAGGTCGATGGGATGATGATTCCGAGACGCGACTTTGTAGCATGGTGCGTCTCCGTATGACCACTCGAGCGCCAGAGGTCCCCGACCCCCACAGCGGTTCGGCAGCATCCAAGGGTGCTGCGACGGACGACCGCCCGTCCAAGCGCGGTGTTGGGGCTCGAGGTTGGGCCCTCCTCTCGAAAGACGCCAGGGATACGCCTACCCATAGCGATACCGACCATGCCCGTCATGGCCCCAGGGCCAGTGTTCACGCAATCCTGGCTGAGCCCAGGCACAGTATGCCGCCCATCTATTCCCTGCTTTCTCTCCCCCTATCCCCCTCGCCCCCCTTGGGCACTGCAGAGCGCCCCCCAGCCCGACCGCGGCGACGGCCCTGGCGGCGAAGACGACGGCAACTGGCCATACCGCCGCCCCCCTTCCCCGCTCCTCTTCCCCTCCATTGAGGGCCCTTGTTGATGGCTCATCCTCCACTGCGCTTGCCTCCCACACGTGTTGGAATGTCTGTAACTCTGGCGGAGGTGCCTGGCCAGTGAACCGTCCCTCGGTCGAGCTACTCAATGCACCCTCGAACCGACCTCCCACCACAGCGGTGGGAAGAGGGACTCGCCGAAGCTGCTCGGCCAAGGTGGGTCAAACATTTCCTGCACCCCCAGAGTCAAATGATAGAAAACAGATCCTCCTCCCCTTGGTGGAAGCCCCCCTTCCCCTGCCAGGAGCCACGCCCGCTCGGAGCTGCCGCCGCCCACGTACGGCATGTCTCGGCCCGGCCCAGCGCTCCCGACGCTCGACCCCCTCAACCTGGGCCCGCCGCCGCCGACGCGCGCCTCCACGCGCTCGGGGCCGCCGCCGCCAGCCTCTGGACCGCGGGCGGCCGCTCGGGCCTGCCGGGGGGACATGCCGCGGAGGATGAGGGAGATCATCGGGAGGATGAGAAGGTGGAGGAGGAGGAGGAGGAGGAGGAGGAGGAATCGCCCTCTCCCATCCAGTTCATGTCGCAGCTCTCCGGCACGGCCGGTTTCCTCGTCGGGGGAGCATGTGTGTTGTTTGCATCCCCTCTGCTTGCTGTCCCCTGATAGGTCGCTTGCAACGCGTGGCAGATGCAGCCACCTTGCTGTCGGAGGAGGGACATGAACTCTACAATCATCATTCAGAGAAGGATGGGTATAGGGATGGATGAGGATAAGTAGATGGAGGTGGAGGAGGCTGAGGAGGAGGAGCAGGAGGCTGGAGGAGTGCCGTGGAGGAGGAGGAAGAGGAGGAGGAGGACGAGGAGGAGGAGGAGGAGGAGAAGAGGAGGAGGTATGAGAAGAGGAGGAGGAGGAGGAGGAGGAGGAGGACCAATCGAAACCCAAGACGCATCAACGATGTTTCAGTAAACCCTCCCTCCCTCCAAGTTTCTTCTTAACATGTCCCTACAAGAACTTGATTTTCATTGCGGGAAGTGCTCCATTGGAAGCCAACCGCCTGAGAATTCCCAATCCTGCCAAAACACCATTGCTGGGACTTCACAGCACCGCGAATCAACGTGATTGTTGCGTCCTCAAAACCCTCAGTCGTGCCAGATCACCAATCCTGGATCTTCACCATACGATTCATTGATACTGTGGCACACTTTTAAAACGTGTGCTCGGCGCTAATGCGAGAGCCACATTTTGAAAACGTTCCGCCCTCCATCGTTGACGCTGTTGCAAGCTCTTGAGACGAATGTACGCGGCGCTAAGGCGAGAGCTAAGGCGGAACCGTTCTTCTTCCATCCATGAAGCTGTTGCAAATTTCAAGCTTCAGGACCATACGTGGTGACGAAGTCTCAGGCGAAGCCCGCCCTACAGGCACGTCTGGGGACGCGACAGGGGGGAATTATTTGTAAGGAAAAGGGGTTGAGGATGATGAAGATGATGAGGCCTTGCCGTTGCGCCGCTGCCCACGCGCCCGCTTTTTGTGAGAGGGGGAGAGAGAGAGAGAGAGAGGGTACCCTCTCTAGATTTTCATCCTGATGCTCCACTCCTCTTCCTATTCTTCCCCCCCCCATCCTCGCCCTTCGTCTTCTTACAGCCCCCCTCGCATCCTCCTCCGTATCCTCGTCTTCCTTCCTTTTCCCCCTTCCCATTTTCCTCTTCCACCTCCTCCTCCTCCTCCTCCTCCTCCTCCTCCTCCTCCTCCTCCTCCTCCTCCCCCCCTCCCCCTCTTCCTCCCTCTCCTTATCCCCTTTCTCCTCTTTCTCCTCTTCCGCCTCCTCCTCCTCCTTCTTCTCCTCCTTCTCCTTGTCCTCCTCCTCCTCCTCCTCCTCCTCCTCCTCCTCCTCCTCCACCCCCGCCTCCTCCTCCTCCTCCTATTCTCCTCCTCCTCCTCCTCCTCCTCCTCCTCACGATGATCCCCCTTGTCCCCCCTCCTCCTTCCTCTGCATTCTGCTCAGGTATCCCCCCGTGTCCTCCACGTTCTCCCTGATATCTCCCCCCCCGCCTCCCTGTATGAACTCCTCCTCCCTGGCCCCGCAAAACCCTAGATCCGACGTGGCGAGCAAATCTCAACGTCGTGAGAAATCACGACCAGCGCCCTATTGGCCCCGCCTTTCTGCGGCGTCTTTCGAGCCAGATCGATCTGTGATGGCCCTCGGGGCCTGCAACTGTGCGAAAGCGCCTGGAGTGAACAACAATGCAGCGCCCAGATCTTCACAAACGGCACAAGGCCGAGACCCCAAACGTCATGTCGCGACCAGTCTGGACCCCTTGCCCGGGACGGTTTTGCCATCCTGCTGAGTAATTTCTTGCCGGCCGCGAGGCTTGGCGAGGGCCCCCAGAGGCCAGAAACGGCCCAAAGCCTTCCGTCGTAATTTAACGACGGCACGGGAGAATTGAAACATCGAAGAACTTCACGACCAGAGCCCGAGACCCCATCTTTCAGCGGCACTTTTTGAGCGGCGTCGACAAGTGATGGTTCCAGGGCCCGAAACCTGACGAAAACGCGGGGCTCGAACAAATCGTGACGTCAGGATCTCAGGGGAGGGGGTCTGGAGACCAGCAACCCCAGACCCCTGACGTCATGATTCTTTCATAACGTCGACATCCAGAGGTCTCGACCCCTTCCCCGGGACCGGCCTTGTGGCGGCCCCGAGGCCCGGCAGGGGCCCCCAAAGGCAGAAAATGGGGAAAAACCTGTCGTCGTGAGATTTTTTTTTACGACCCGAGGGGGGCTGGGTCCACCCCGCCCCTCATTACCTTCCTCTTCTCCTCGTGGCTATCTGCCCTCCAATTTTCTCCCGCTGCGTAGATACGCACTTGGTCTGGATCCCTTCAGGCATAAAACTTTCCTTCTGACTCTCTGCCACACTCACCACCTCCCAGAGGCACTCCGTGACACTCTCAGCCTGCTGCTGCAGAGGGCTCGTCGCCCAGCAGGTCCTTGGTCCGTGACGCTGCTGCTTAAAGAACATTGGCCAGGCCATTGGTCAGAGGGGGTCTGGGGCGCCCCGAAAGTTTGCCGCCGATTTTGGTAGCAGGCTGGGTTCCCGGGTTCCCAGTTCCAGGTTCCTGGGTTCCCGGTTATTGCTTCCGGGCCGATTTCGATGGGTTCCCGGGTTCCCGGGCTCCCGGGTTCCGGGTCGATCTCCTCAGCGACAAACCATCCACTGATTGGCAAACCTCCTGCCGTGACGTTTCCACGACGCCAGGGGGGCCCTGGCGCCCCTCCCCCCCGCCAGCGGCCTGGCCGGGTCGGCCCCTCCCACAGCGCCCGCCGCGGGGCGAGACCGCAGGACTGCTGCGGCCCGGGCCGGCGCCGCCCGCCCCGGACCTCGCGCACGCCGGGCCACCGACGCCGCCCAGGGGCCCCGCTCGCCTGGGGAGCACGCCGCCCGCGTACGGGAGGGGATCCGGGGGAGGGCCTCGAGCACGGGGCCTCGACTTCGAGACCATGACAGCATCGGGACTTGAGTTGAGGCTTTTCGCTGCCCTCGGCCTCTGGGGGCCCTTACTGGGCCTCGGAGCCAGCAGGGCACGACTGAGGACGAGGAACTGGACCGGGGGAAGGGGTCCAGACCTCTGGGGGTCGCGTCAAAAAAAAATGAACGGGCGCGACCCCAACTTGGGGAAAGCTTCCTATTGCATGGGCGCAGTATTTTGCACTGCTTGGCGTTGCTTGGCATTCCTTCGCATTTCCTGGCGTTGCCTGGCATTGCCTGGCATTACCTGGCATTACTTGGCATTGCTTGGCATTGCTTGGCATTGCTTGGCATTGCTTGGGGAACCCAGGGGACCCGGGGAACCCGAGGAACCCGAGGAACCGAGGAACCCAGGGAACCCGGGAAATCCCCGAGGAACCCGAGGAGCCCAGGGATCCCGGGGAACCCGAGGAACCCGAGGACTTTGGGGACCTTCCGGCAACAGGCCAAGTAGCCACCCGCGGCACCATTCTTCATCACGGCGGTGCCTAGGGGTGCCCCAGCCAGACTCCTCCCTCGGACGGCACCATCGCGAAGGAGCCTAAGAAAAGATAGAGGTTCGCGCAGCAGCACCTCAGGTCCGAGACGCCTTTCAGAGAACCCTCCTTGAAAAGCTCTCGCTCGGCCGCAGACTACGCGGCCCCGGCCCTGCCCAGGTGGAAAATCGTCCGGCGGACGGCCTTGAGGTAAGAAGAGGATCAAACAGGTATGCAAGCGTCCCCAAACTCCCTCCCCCCGAGAGGCCCCAGGCACCCTCCCACTTTTGCAATCCGCAGCCCCCCCGACCTCTTCCTCGGGGGATAGTTCTGCACCCCGGATCTGTTTTTGGTGGCCCCTGGGCCCGACAACGGGCCGTTAGATACCTGGGCACAGACACCGATCTTGGGCCTAGGATCGTCCCAGCCAGGAGCGGTGCACGGAAACGCCCGAGATTCGTACGGAAGAGAAGGGCACGTTTCCAAATGGCAGATGTTGTCCAAAACCTTCAGCGGCCGCTGTTGGGCAGGCGCCTGTTTGTATCAAATGGACATCGTCCGCGGCGATACCGACAACGTGCTCAAACCAGCAGGAACTGCTGTTTCGGGGGCGTCCAAGAGGAGGACGATGTGTGGGGGATATATCATGGCTGGGGCCAGTCTACATCCCAGATTTCACGCCCCCCTCTTATCTCGATGCGTCCCCTCCCCCACCCTCGTCCGCGCACTTTCCCGTCAGTGGCGAGGCGGCGAACTCCGCTCCATCGAGAAGCTGGAAAGGGGCACTCACTAGCGAATTGGCCAGCGGGCAAAGAGGGGGGGGGGACGGCCGAGAGGAAGAAGGGACGCTCAGGCGTCGAAGAGTTCGACGATGAGCAGCCGGGGGGGACAGCAGCAGCCAGGCGCGCAGGGCCAGAGCGCGGTCCCTCGTTCGCGCACCTGCCTCTGGCCAATATTTGTGCCCCCCCTATCCTGGACGCCTCCCTCCCCAGACCCCGACGTAATGACTTTTTCATTACGTCGACCCCCAGAGGTTCCGACCCTTTCCCCATGACTGGCTTTGCATCCAGAGTCGTTTTTGACGCTCCCGAGGCCCGGTGAGGGCCCCCTGAGGCCGAAAATCCCACCAGCCCTGTAGGCGTCGGTGGTTTAGGGCGTTTCCTCTTCCTCCCCTCCTTCTTCCCCTTCGGGGAGGGGTTTATCATTGTTACTTATTAATAAACACCCCCTCCCCCAGGCGACTGGGGGCCAACCATGGACCATGACGACACCCCCCCACCATCCCTTGTAAAAAACAATGCAAAACACACTCTGCCTCCAAATTCGGAACATGCGCAGCCAACCCGATGCGGCCCCCCCCCCACCATCCCTGTCAACAAAAACAATACAGAATACACTTAATGGCGGCGGCGGCTGCGGCGGCTGCGGCGGCGGCGGCGGCGGCGG